TTCAGGGAAACACCTTGGTGAAGTAGCAGTTGATCAGAGAGGGAAGAAGTTAAAGATCTCCATCACTTTTTCTTCTGTTTATGCCCCTAAAATGTCTGACTTTGACTTCTGTGCAAGGTTTGTCACTAAAGAAATGTTTTTACATTCCTCTACTGATGGGGAAGATATCTGTACTCTTCCTAAATCTGAAACAACACATTCTAGAAAATTCCACTGCCCAAGAAACCTGAACCCCCCCAGTGCAGAGCGGAGCTGTCAGCACAGAGAGCGAGAGTTTAGACTGGTATGGTGAACATGGTAGAGTGCCACATGTGGATGTAAACATGTGGATGTAAAGCAGACCCTGGAGCTCCCCTCTGTCCACAGCGTAATAACAGTGGGACCACGCTGTAACATCGAAGCAGATATTACACATTCACAACAACCGAACACCCTAAAAAACAACATAAACAACTAATAGATGCTACTTCTGATACGTCTGACAGACTCCTCATCTGAGACTGAACCTCTCTGTTCCCTCTAACACTTTTTATGTGGGATAACCATGTTGAACTAAATATGGATCACATGCGAGTATTTACATACTACCAACAAATGTGTCTGGAGTGGACTGTTAATATGAAGTTGTTTAATACGAGGCTGTTATAGATGTTTCTGTTATTTCGTCCACCCTTGTTCCCAGATTAGCAGCTAATTGAATGTCTTGTCTTCAGTGCCCAGGTGAAGGTGTTCGTAACGGGTCTGTTCAGCCTGAATCAAGACATCCCCGCCTTCAAGGAGCACCTGAGGGACTTCCTCGTGCAGATCAAGGTGAGTGTCCAAACGCTAATGAATGAAAATATCAAAACTGAGATGTACAGGAGTGACTCGTCATGTTTGTAGAGGATTTGTATCTGCAGTTCTCCACTATGTCACTTCCTGTCATTCACAGCGAGGCTGTTTAAGGACAATAACCAGACTCTGAATAGAGCCTATCAGAGGGCCGCAGCAGTGCAAGCAGCCTGCTGTGATCAATCACTTTACCAATTTAAACAGGCGTGTTGCCTGAATCTCCAAACCTGAGACTCAAGTTTAAACTTGCTTTAAATTTTAGAAATTTGGCAGTGTAAAGTGGTTTTTGTTCACAGTAGTGCCTGAGACTCATTTCCAAACACTGCAGAGAGTCTCTTTTACTGTTTTACAGACAGTTCAGACAATAAAGTGCTGCAGGGAGGACATATTGGAATCCAACCTGCTTTCTTCGACAAAAAGCAAACAGGATTTTGGATTATTGTAGAAAATAAGCTCTGTGAACAAACGTTTTTGATGCTTACGTTTAATTCAGCAAGATAATCTTTACAAGTGAACACCACATTTATGATTTTTAAATTGTAAATGTGATCACCAGAAGTAAAAGGCTAACGTTAGGCTATAAAATGAATACATAAAACCCATTGACCTTGAGGTGAGAGAACTAAAATGCTAATGCTCAGTTCTGAGTTTACTTAATTCTTCAGCACTCTTTATATAAAAGTGGATGTAACTGCTCAAATATTTAGTGAGAGAACTGAGACAAAGATAAATGAAAGGGCAAAGCAAAAAGGTCATGACTTAAAACAAAGAGGACACATAAAGTCTAATCTGATTGGAAGCGTTTGAAAGCTACAACCTGCGTCAGCACTGTTTTAACGTTTGAGTGGAAAGTTTGAGCCGTGCAGGTCTGCCTCTGTGGGAAAACGGCTGTTTGGCCAGCGTGACTCTAGAGCCCGAGGTGTGGTGTGAGCGCCGCTGAGCCTCTGCTTGTGTGGTCCTGCAGGAGTTTGCTGGCGAGGACACGACGGACCTGTTCCTGGAGGAGAGGGAGACGGCTCTGCGCCAAGCCCAGGAGGAGAAACACAAGATCCAGATGTCGGTCCCCGGCATCCTCAACCCTCACGAGATCCCCGAGGAGATGTGTGACTGAAGCGGTGGCGGTGGCGGTGGCGGCGGCGGCGGCGGCGTGTACAAAACGGCACTGAAGGGGGAAAGGTCAAGAGAGAGCAAGGACGCTTCCTGTTGATAAATAGTTTTCTTTTCAAGTGTGTTTGTGTGCGAGTGTGTGTGTTTGAAAAGAGAATGAGGGGCCATAGGAAGGACCCCAGCACTCGGTTGTACGTCGACCAAATCAATGTCAATATGTAAATGAGAATCGTCCCCCTGACCCCCCTCCACCCTGGCGCAGATTCTTTTTTTTTCCTACAAACTTATTTTATACAAAGATTTTTTTTGTGTAATATGCCATCTTTTGTTAATCCTTTGCTAATTAAAGCTTTGTTTGGCCATATGGTTCTTCTACACCTGCATGAAGTTGAAAGAATTTCGGTTATTTTTAATCCCTCTTCACCCTCAATTCACCTCGTCTCCTATTTGTTAATATGTAATATATAATGTTCAAACACTTGCAATGGTTAGTTGACTAATTGCTCTGGTTTCAGAAGTGCCATGTGCATGGTGCAGGACGAATGTGACCCTCAAGGGGTAGACATGTACTTCCTCGCTTCCTTTGTTGTCTTGTTTTGGTTTGTTTAGTGTGTTTTGTTTTTTTTCTTTTATTCTGGCTCTCTGTGTCGGAGCTTCAGTTGGACCGCTCTGCGTTTGGATGAGAAGGAAGGCTGTATGCATATCATCCTGTTTGTAAAGCTGTCTTAGTACTCTGAGAATATAAAGTTGGCTATTTTTACAAAAAAAAAAAAACCTGCTGTGAGACTCTGCTTCTTACCCAAAAGCCCTGAAGGTTACGGAAAGCCTGGAAAAGACGAGGAATGTCACAGCAAGGCTTCCAGGACCTGAAGGGTTATTGCACATGACATGTTCTAAAAGGGTCTGGGGAGTTGGTTTGTTCTGGGAAATAGTTTTTAAACTTGGCTGTGTAGATTTAGTTATGTTCCTGGGGGCATTGCAGGGGAGTCACCCCGACCAGGTAGAAAGATGTGGAGTGAAACTAAAGTTGAACGGACCTTTATCACAGCAGACATTTTAGCTCGGCCCCAGTACTACACTGAACTACTTAACATTATTAATTGCTGCGTTGCATTACAATAATTGCAACCATCATTGTCTTTAGCTCCACTTGTGCTTTCCCTCCTACAACACAAAATGTCTACTGTAAAATAAAAAGTATATAAATCTGGTTCATTTCGGAAGGAGTGACATTAAAATAAGCCTCTGCCCGGTATAATACGGTATTTTAATTAAACTAACGTGAACGCATCAGTACAGCTCAGTGGTAGGCAGACAGACATCAGGGGATGATGAGCAGCAATGCTCTGCGTTAATCTACACTGAAAGAAACGCTGCGAGGTGCCAGCTGGTCGTGGTCCTGTTGGCCCGGTCCTACCAGGTCTGGTTCCAGGGAGAGAAACTTCATTCTGGCAAGTGAAGTTTTCCAGCCTACACACACAAAAACCTACACTGTGGGATCTGAGAAAGTCCTAACATCTGGGTCTGATTTTAGAAAACGTAAAGTCACCTGACTACAGGTCCCTGTAGGTGACATAAAGACTGGGTCTGAAAGGTATTTGGATAATGAGGGATAGAGCTGTAATGTCAGATGTATTACATCAGAGGAAATGGAAACAGACATTGTGAAGAAAATATTAAATTTTTTCCTCCCTTTATAACCTCCCTGCCTGCGGTGTTTAGGGTACATGCAGGATGAGTACACTGTACAGACAAACACTAAATAAAACCACACAAAAATGAAGAACAAGTGTGTAAACCTCATTACTGGATTTGGTAGTGGTTTCACATTGTTTTATTTTGTTTTTTAACTTTATTCAGCAACAATTAGGGACAATACAACACAAAAGATCTCATAAGTGCTGTTTGCAAGTTCTCAAATATTTTATTAATACAAATAAAAGGAAATATATGAAACAAGACAAACGAGGTTAATTTAAGTGGGCAACATATTAAAGCGTTTCATATTTGTTGTTACTGGTTTAAAAATGTGAACGTTTGCGAATATATGTGTATCTGTTTATAAGTAATATAAGATGGTATCTTCTACATTTTAAGGTTTCACATCATACAATTATTTATAATAAGACAGACTTTACTGATCCCACACTGGGGAAATGTTCTCACTATAATACACACATAGGAAATAAAATAAAAAAATTAAAGGTATAATAAAAATAACCCAGCTGACAGTAGCTCAGTGTGAAGGGACTTGGCTCGGGAACCGGAGGGTCGCCGGTTCAAGCCCCACAGACAGTATGGAGTGTGGACTAGTAGCTGGAGAGTTGCCAGTTTTCACCTCCTGTGCTCTGCCGAGGTGCCCTTGAGCAGGACACCTAACCCCTAACTGCTCCCCGGGTGCTTAGGCTGCCCACTGCTCCTAATGTATGTAGGATGGGTCAAATGCAGAGGCCAAGTTTCACTTCATGTATGTAAAAAGTGCTGTAAATGGTGCACTCTCAATATGACAATAAAAAGACTTTCTTTTCTTTCATAACACGACATAAACATATTAATCTTTAATATATATTAAAGATTAATATGTTTCTTTAATAACACGACATAAACATATTAAAAAATATGAATCATAAATATTTTTTATCGTGTTATGAAAGAAAATAAAGTCTTTTATTGTCATATTCATAGTTTATATACACCATTTACTATAATTATATTTAATATATATGAATAGTTAAAAATATTTTTATGCGGTTAATATTAATATAACATATATAATAAATCTAAATATTTTAAAATATTTTTTGTTAAATAAAAAAACTTATAAAGATGTTAATTTCCGTGGTTGTTTTGAATGAATGTCATGAAGCCAGGAGTAGTTTCACGGCAGTCGCCCTTGAGATCCTGAAGAAAAGGTTGTAACATTACATTCACCGCGGAACTCTCGCTTTTGAGAGCACCGAAACAACCCCGAACGAGCGAAAGAGACGCACGAAAACACCAAGTCCTTCCTCTCCGTATCCGCCCCCCTCCTCCTCCTCACCTCCCAACCCCCCCCCCCTCCTTTTTCAACATGGCTACCGGGTCTGCTCTCTCATGTAACGCTCAGATTGGAGGCTGACTCGACTCTCTCTTCCTCTGCCTCCCTTTCACTTCTGCTCGCACACCAACGTCGCTCGGATGCAAATCCCGCTCTGCAGCCTCTCCGTCTCCCCCCGGGTGTCCCTCGGTGGAATAACCTTCCCCAATCACTCCCTCCACCGGGCCTTTTCTCACCCCCCCAAAAAAACAACCAACTGCCAGCCAACAACAGTTTCTGCCAGCGCCATGGTTTGAGTCAAGGTGCGCTCCGCTTCATGAGACAATGTGCGAAAACTGCGCCGAGCTGGTGGAGGTTTTAAATGAAAGTAAGTGAACAAATAAACGGGGATTTTATTTACCTGCTAGCTCTGCTGTTAGCACCGCCTGTCCACTGGAGCTTGATGAAGAGGAGGAGGAGGAGGGGGTGTTAGCTGTGAGGCTAAATCTAACTTAGTGTGTTTTTATCGATTAGGGGTCGAGTGTGTGTCTGCAGGCGGTGACACTTTAATGCTTAAAGGATGCAAATGTTGTTTTTTTGTGTGGTTTTTTTTTTTAGGCCTGTCTTGTCAAACACTCCTTTTTTTTTTTTTTTTTAAAACACAAGTCAAACAACCGAGCAGCTTAAAATCACCTCGCTCGGTTTCCACATGTGTGACACCACTAACACGGGGTTTTAAAACGCGTTAGCACGGTTGAGCACGGGTTTTAAACCTGGCCTGCACGGGTTTTCTACTAGCCACCTAGCTGTGCTGACTTTGTTTGATGTGTTTGTCAGGTCAGTCTGCTCGCTGTCCACTCCGCTGCCTCCCATTGTTTTGTGGCTGGCTCACATTCAACATCTCAAAATGGCCAACTGCTCGCGGTGCTGTCACACTCACACGATGATGTCTCAGATGTTTTCTCATAACGTGTGTTTTTGTAAATGTGTTCAAGTGTTAAGTTTGGCTGCAGCTGGTGAATTAAAGGCTGCAACCAGGCGCAGTATTTTGGCACACAGCGACACGGTTTAATCCTCGGTAGCTTGTGTTTGTCGCTCGGGTTTTTTTTTTTTTTTAAGTTAAATTATAATCCAGCCACAAAGAAAAGCCCCCCGTTTCCACCCCGCAGAGCTAATGTCACCTTAAAGCCAGAGAGTCGCCTTTATCGCTGGAAGTTAGCACGCTTGTTAACGCGTGCTAACCAGGCCTTGCTGCACTTTAAGGAGGTTTGCTGCGTTAAGACACACAACAAAAGCCTGTTTGTGTCACAGCTGCAGTCTGAACGCTGTTGTGCACAGATGCTCGGGTTATTGGGGCTTTCCCTCTGAACCTCCAGCCCTGTTTGTGTGCAGTGAAAGCTCCTCCTGCAGGCTCTCTCTGCAGCACCTGTACCTGGAAACCAGCAGCTCATCACACCGGTTTCATGTGTTGTTGTGAGTTAGGAGCAAATAGAGTGGACACCTGTTTCATCCTTGGTGTGCAGCGTGTGGGTAAAGCGTTACAGACACACACAGGAGAGCTGAACGTGTCATTTTAACGATTTAATGCTGTTATCACGGCTTTTTAAAGCAGATTTCAGACTCTAACGTGAAGGATTTGCTCCCATAGTGCCGGGAGAGCGTCCACAGAGGAGACAGGTGCCACTGGTTGGTGTGAGAGCGACTCTTTCTGTTTGTGTTGTTGTTTTGTTTCTCCCTCTCTCGTTAGGCAGTCTGTCAAGTGTTGTTTTAAAGGTCAGTGTCATTAATTTTCCGTTAATAGAGGCCGCTCGTCGCCCAGGCCGGACCGTCTGCTCCGGTCTAAGCAGGTTATCAGTGGAGTCTGCGCTGATGCTGGCTGATAAAACCTGGCTCGCGGTTGTGGCTTTGTGCACGGGGACATTGTCACGTTGAGACAGGAAAGGGCCGAACACAAACTGCTGCCACGACGGAGTTGGAGGCGCAACTGTTGTCTAAAATATTGCAGCATTAAGATTTCTCCTCGCTGCGACCGAGGGGAACCCCAGACCACGAGAAATGTCCTTCATCTCCGTCCATGTGTGAGATTACACTGTAGGAGGTCTTTTCTAACGCCGACTGGAAGTTCACTCCAGTTCTGTGATTGAAATATCGAAATATTCCAGAGATCGGCTGCTGTGTGATCATGTGACAGCAGCAGATTGTGTGTAATACTGATGTGTGGAAGAGAGTTGTGCATATTTCTGGGAAACTCTGCCCGACGTTGCTCACGAGTCCAACAGTGGCTTTAATTTATCACCTGTATTCTCAAACATGCCAGAAACTGAACTGCTCTGTGTATATAAAGTCAGACAGACGACAGTTTGTGTCACATTATTACAGGATTCTTTGTGAATACCAGTGCAGACGCATTGCCAAAAGCGTTTAGCAGATTAAATGATCTGTTAATAATATATTTTGACTTTTTCTGCAGAACTTTGACGGGCTTTATGTTCTGTGAAAGCCAGAGTATGTTTGAGAAGTTTGAACGTGAGCTGTGTGTGTATTTTGGTTGTCTTACCGTAATGTGAATTAATATTAAATCCTTTCTTACGCTCAGGTGTGCATAAACTTTAAAATGTAAAAACGTGGGTATATTATTGTTCTCTGCCACGAGAAGCAGGCAGTACGCGATTATCGTATCTCGATTTTTAAAAATGTTTTCCTCTATAAAACCCCAAATTCTCAACTATTTAATGTTGTCTAGACACAAGCAGACATGCAGGAAGTTTGCCTGAGAAGCATAAAGCTGTCAGAAGTTTGATTTGAAGTAGGAACTGTCTGATCGAGCACCGCCGGCTCGATTCCCACTCAGATTACAGGACACGTAATCTGCTGCTGATGTGCTTTTCCACCAGTGGAGCTGTGAACTGGTGGAACTGGACGGGGGTCCCACAGCGGGCGGCTGTCAGCTGTGACAGCTCTGTCTAGGAGACTGGCAGCTCCATGTGTTGTGCCTGCAGGTGACCTGTGACCTCAGATGTGCTGCAGCAGCATGTGTTTGTGCGTGCGCGGAAGAGGCAGGATCCCCTTTTACAACAGGGAGCAGTGTTCAGCCGGGGTTTCCGAGCACCGGCCGAGCCACGTGCTTTCCAAAAATGCGAGGATTTGCTGCTTTTCTGTTTGTGTGTGTGTGTGTGTTGTCTTTGTGTCAGACAGAGACAACCAGATGTCACCGTGGGCTCCGGGAGGTTGAGGAAGACATTCATTGGTATTTGTTTGACGTTTTCTAATAGATTATTGAGACATGAATGGGTTATAGTGGTGATGATAATGGGCTCTTTTATTCTGAGCCACTGTTGTGCCCACTAATGACGACAAACCGCACAGGTCCCCGCCAAGCTCCAGCTTCAGGCGGTTCTGTCGCTTTAAGCTTTGGGTTGATCAAATATAAAGTCCCTGTTTTAATGTCGCAGTCTGCACACAGAGTCTTTTTCCTTAAACCAGCCCTTCTCTATCATCGAGTAAACAGACTAAGTGACATATTTTATGGATATTATCCATTTATATTCTATTCTATTCAATGCGTAACAGTAACAGTAGAGAACAGCTGACAGTGAACACAATAACTGCAGGAAGTTTGTGTAAAACCAGCGATCTGGATGAATTCTGCACCAGAGATGTGTTTTACTGATATTTCTAGGAAACACATTGTACAAGCAACAGTCGCACATACGTAATGGGCTTCTGACGAATCCAGTGTTTTCTTCTCATTGTTCTGTTAGCTCTTTGGTTGTTTCTAACTGCGTACTTTAATGCAGAGAGTGAAGGCTCTGAGTGAATGAAGAAAATGCTGAGATGTGGGCCGACTACTGTGTATATCTTTATTGTTTTCTCCCATAAATGAAGAAGGCCTCTCTGCGACTCGCCGTGAAGTCTTGTCGAACCCCTGGTCTCAGAGCCGATGTGGTCTAAAGGTCTGTAATGGATGAAACAGCCTCACTGACGTCCCGCTCTGCTTCTACAGGCAGCTCAGTGCCATTCACAGAAAAGTCTTTATAATTACAGATTCTGAGAGTGTTTCAGATCCTCTGCCACCTCCTCAATACGCCGTCGACCGCTGTCGCCTTTCACCGACACGTTTTGGTTGAACTGTACAGCTTTTAGTGTCGCAGCCGGAGCGTTTAAACGCCTCCAGCCGCTGCCGAGCTGAAGGAGTGTGATCACACAGCGCAGGTGTCCTCCTCCTCTTTATATTCACGGTGAGCTGCCATAAACTGCGTGTAACGTTGGCTCCCGTGAGCCCGTTCACAGACAAACGCCATCAAAGCAGTGAAACGGCGGCACGGCAGCATCCCAGATCACCACCGCCGGTTCTTCAGAGGAGCTTCTGTTCACACGTAGAGCTCAAAGGTTCAGTGAGGGTACTGTTGTTGCTGTTTTTTGTCTTCTGTGTGTCTTTGCTGCCAAATTCAGGTCAGCGATTCAGCGGAGACACTTGATTCCTCTGAACGGGGTGTGACTGATGAAGACCCGACACAATAACCGTAACTTTAGACTGAAGCCGCTGAAGTCTGCTGCCAATATCTCATGTCTCTGTACGAGGCAGCCTCCACATTAGAGCCCATCTGAGCATCAGTAGCAATGTTTGAGGGTAAACATTCGACATTCACTTTTCTTTTTGTCAATCTGAGTATATTTTACTCCTCATCAACAAACCATGGTAACTGAGCGGGGCATACATTCCTGTCTACTGAATCTGTGTCCATATTGTCTCATCCAGATATGACGTGTGTCCTCGATTATTGCAGTAAAGATGATCCGTGTTTTTCCCATTTTCTGAGAAGTATTCCCTCCTTATTCCCCTCTTACGATATCCATCCATTGTTTAAGAAAGCTTTCTTGCACTGTTAGTATTTCCCAGAGCTGCAGGTCACTTCTTAACACAACATTATCTTTAATTCAAGATACAATCAGGGTTTCCAAATGAAGCTGGAAATACAAAGACTAGTTCTGCAGTCATGGAAACACCTGGAAATGTCCTGAGAGTGAGTTTACCAGCAGTAAAGTGGAAGTGACTCGCAGTGATCTTTTGAAGAATGTGATATTTCTGTTAAATAAAATAAATGCTTTCAGGATGTGTGTAAATGAACGCAGTCAGTTGGTGAGCGAGGGCTGTCCTGTAGTGTCACCAATGACTCCTGGAAAATGTCCTGGAAAGAAAATGATTTGTTTAAAGGAGTGGGAACGCTGAACAATGTCTCACTGGAGTTTCATAACCTGAAAGGTCTCTAAGGGTTAAAGCTATAAAAGATCTTTGATCAGCATGTAAGTGTCCCACACAGTCTCCAGGATATTCTCTTTTCATTTGAATGCCTAATTGGACAACTCCAGCAGTCTTCACACAGAGAGGTGAGTGTGCCTGTCAGAGGAAGTGCTGCTCATCCTGTTAACACTCTGTTGGACTCGAGTGACATCCCTCGAGTGTCTCAGTTCGGGGTCAGAGGTTACAAATTGATAACGACAAAGAAGAACTACTTTAGTCATTTCCTGTATTTGGAAACTCAGACTTTGGACGTCTGGTTATCTTGTCCTCTGCTGCTTTGGTTTTCATTCCTTTTTAAATGTCTTGTGAGTTCTCAAAACCTCGTGGTACCCCTTTAACTCGACAGATATGGGTTTTTCAGTGGCCGATAATGGCAGATATACAGTTGAACAATGTATATAACAGTAACAGTAAATGTATTCTTCACTGGAAAGGAAATTATGAGAAGTAATTGTAAGTCAAAGCACAAATAAAACCAAAAAGGTAGCTTGGAATGAAGTTAAAGGGTCAAAATTAAACTACAAAACATTTCTATACTTTTTCTTTTTGCACGTCAACATGTATAACAAACAAAAAAAACAGAACGAGACGTTTTTGTCGACAGTGGAATATTTTTCTTTTATTTGAATGCTTCTTTTGTTTTCTATTTGCTTTGCCTTTGACTTGTCAGCTATAAAAACCAACCGGCAGTTGGTCGGCGGTGTTAAGTCCGTGTGTCTGTCTGTCCTGTAACGCCTCTCCCCTCTGCTCTCTCCTCAGTATCGGATGCAGACAGCAGTGAAGGAGGCTTCCAGCTGAAGAAGGAACATGCCCTGCGAGTGCTGGGCTACATCAGCTCCTGGACGCAGAGGTCAGTGCTGCTTCCTCTCACGAGTCAGATACAGTGAAAATAATGTGGCTGAAAGGAAAGCAAGGTCTGCCCATCTCTCCTCCATCCTCTGTGCTCAAATTTAAGGTTCCTCTGAACTGTAATAAGCGGCTCTTTGCGTTACCTGAATATTCTGACCACATTTAAACTCACGTCCCAACAGTACTCTTACTGCAGGGGTGTTTTAGTGGCTGGCGTCCCTCAGCAGGACTTTATCACTAGAAGTTGTGGTTTCATTGACCCCCCACCACTCTGTCCAGCATATCTTTCAAAAACATTGAATAAAAACTGCAAATCTTATTTCAGACGAGCTGGAAAACCGTCTTGACAGTGATGTAAAGCAGTGAGGAAGTTCTGGAAATAAAGACAAACTCCAGTCATGCTGGATTTTCACCAGCTGGGAAAATCTGCTCAGTAGACACGAATCACTCATTATGCCCATCTGCAGCAACTCAGAGTTCCCCTCGAGCAAGGCATTCAATCCATTGACAACCTTCATTTGGATGAATAAATCTCACAAGAAATATATTAAAAAAAACCATTTTTAGACTCCAATCTGCTCTGCGAGTGGAGGCCATGAGGCGACAGGAAGGGTCTGACTGAGTAATGATGACTCTCATTCTAGTTTGGTGTCTGCCTGTTTTCATTCATCCAGCTGGAATGTCTTCATGCTTGGTGTTTGAAGGAGGCTTGAGACCTAAACCTTCAAAATCTGCTGACTCATTTGTTTAAAAGTTGCCAAGAAGCGGTCCTTCCGCGGGCCTGCTGTGTGTTATTTGTAAGTGTGTAATGCTTCCATCTTTGCGGAAAGTAAGAGGAAATTGCTGGTGACCCGTCCTGTACTTTGACTTAAGTGACGGGTAAGAGCTACACTGAGACGTGGCAAAACATCTGCGCACTCACACGCACTCAGTTCTCTTTCCAGGACGTGACAAGAATCCTGAATGGAGATATAATATTTTTAAAATCGACTTCCAGTTCTAAAATGTGCGTCATACGTCCTGGCCTGGCGCCTTTCCTCTGTGTTTTGCCGAACCTCCGTAGTGGTGGCTGCTAGATCTCTCGGGTCTGCCTTGCGAGGCTAGCTATGGAATCCAAACCCAAAAAAAGAAAAGAGAAATTAGCATTACAGATAAGTGTCGCAGCTCCAGACAGATTCTTGTTTTTTGGGGGCCAAAAATGTCTGAACCAGAAACAGCTGTTATATCGCTCTTTTCAAAGCCACCAGACTCCATTGACAAAAACAGTCATTTTAGCTCACAGAACAGAGAGCTGGTCTACCGTTGCCTCCATTGTTAGTTTGTTTGCTGAAGGGGGAACTAACCCTTCAACCTTTATAATACTTCATTCATCCAAGCTCCCAGTGTTCCTTGAACTGTTTACATGTCAGATTTTCAGTGAGTTCTTTTAACTGTTGAACTGTATTGTATTGAAAAGTAAGAAAAGCGTCACAGATAGCATGCGGTTCTATAGAAATACCTGAAAGTATTGATGTCATTTGTCGCTCCAGGAACTCCAGTAACACTCAGTAAAGTTACTCCTGAAGTGAGCTGGTCTCAGAAAGATGATCTGCAGCCGTGTTTATTGAGTCTTTAACACTTCCTGGTTCTTCTCCTGTGTCTTCAGACAATGTCTCTGCTGCTTCAAGGAGTACAAGCACCTGGAGGTCTTCAACCAGCTGGTCTACGCCCTCATCAACCTGGTCATCGCTCAGATCAGCAGCCTGAGAGACCGCCTCTGCAGCGTCCAGGACCACACTCACAAAGGAGGCGTGTCTGGGACTGATGGGGTGGGGTCCGATTGGAGTGGGGGCGAGACTGCACCCGGGGCCCTCGCCCAGCCGTCCTCACCTGGGGAGGACGAACCTGTGAATGTGGAGAGAGACTCTGCCGAAGAGGATGCTGACGCCCCCGACCTGAACCAGAATAAGACCCAGGGTCAGGGGGCCAACCAGCCATGTGAAGCCCAGATGGAAGCGCTGGGGCCTGGGGAGGGCGGCAGTGGGTCTGGGGGTGGTGATGGTGGTATCGGAGGAAACAGTGACAGCCAGGACCCGTTCAGCTCCTGGAACACAGAGGAGAGGGAGAAACTGCTGTTGTGTGCCGCCAAGATCTTCCAGATCCAGTTCCCTCTCTACACAGCCTACAAACACAACACACACCCCACTATAGAGGTGAGGACAACGTCACACACCTGACACACCACCACACCCACAGACTGAAACATCACCTAAAGATATTCTTTAACATAAATGCATAACAAACATTTTAATAAGAATCCCTTAAACTGGATAATGTTACCACTGTGTGTCTGTCTTTAAAGAATAAAATCTGTTTTCAGTACCCGCCTCAAAAGACCGTTATCAATCAGGTCGATCAGCTCAGATGTTCTCCTGATTAAAACAGGCTCTGTAGTGTAAATGCACTTTCTGCTCACAATACCAAACAAAGTTCTTCTCTGTTCAACTCCTTTTAACATCCTCTGACTGTGAACAGTGGCCTGTAATTCAGAAATGTCTGAATTCATGAACTAAACAGAACTCAGCATTAAAAACAAGCCTTGTCTTTCTCAGTTTTAGGAAGATTGAGGTTTTCCCTTTGAGTGCATATCCTCTAAAACCCTGGCTTATCTGTTTCTGTTCTCCAGGACATATCTGCTCACGAAAGCAACATCCTCGGCTCCTTCTGCGACATGAACGTAAGCTATCTACCTTATCCTTATTTCACAGAGTTGACTGCTGCCTTCAATTACACTGCTTCCTGTCAATCACATGACACCTGCAGCAGGAAATAATCCCTCAAGAACATGTTGCCTTAAGGTTCAGACAATCCCGTCGCTGCTGCAAAAACACTTCCTCATTCGTGTCAATGAAGCTCCTGATTGCTCTGAGAAGCACTCTGTAACTTAATGCTCTAAACGCCAGAGTAGTTCGTGCCCTGTTGTCCTCGTGCTGGTTGTGTTTCTGTCATTTATTCCGTCCTGAAGCTGTTTTATTGGGAAGCTGCACGAACGAGCTCCGTGCCCAAACCCGACAGCTGTGCTGCATCCAGAGCAGGAGCCGGGGGAGAAAGGGCGATGATGAAAACTAGATGCAAGCCGGAGGCGAGCACATCAGGGGGCCCGTCATGTGCCAAAAAGTGTCACATGACCAGTGAAGAGGTTTATTGGTCACATCTTCTCTGGCACATGCATGTGAGGGACAGAATAACAGGAAAAAATAAATAAAGCGCCACATCATCAGCCTGGACTGTAATGTTAGTTCACTTCCTCTAACAGTTTTCACTGAGTCACCCCCTGTGATTGGTCTCACATTTCTTAAAGTCATCATCCTCGTCAGCGCTGGGGAGAATAGTTTGCTGTCCTACAGGACTAAAAAAACAGAAATATTCACTTTTTCTTGTCCCAATAAGTCAGACTGATGAAATCAATAGATTAATTGAATAGTTCTGTTAACGATCATTGCAGCTCTGCTCCAGCGTGTTGTGAACACTGTCTACTGACAGACATTTCCAAAGCTGTTCTTTGCATTTCTCTTACGGTGAGGTTCTTACTGTCTCCTGACTTGAGATCAGAAACCTGATACCCGGGCAGCTGAGTATCCAAATATAACCGTTGTCTGATGTGAGGTTTCATGTTGCTACGATGTGCTCTGTGTGGAGTGGCCCAGCTTGGATTTATTCTGTCCTGTGGACTACTTTTGTTTTTGATATCAGCGAACTAAATGGCTTCACATGGGATGGAAAATCTCCCAGAAACAGGAAAAGATTCACAGAATCAGTTCACTTTGTTAGCTTCCAGAGTGAGTTTGTTTGTTTCAGTTTAGTTTTTCTTGTTTGAAAATGTGTAGCTTTACTTTAGTTTCAGTATTATTTGAGTTTGTTATTATTAGATTGGATATATCTAATATCTGGAGCAAGATTTAAAAAGTTCAGTATTGGCATTACAATAAAAAACCTTGACTCACAGTCAAACAAACATTCACCCAGTCCTCCTCGTGCTTGCTGACCAGACTCAAACTAAAGACATTTCCTATATATTTTTATTTTATTTGAGTTATTTTGGAAGCACACAATATTGTTTTTTAGTTTTAATTTGTTTTCCAGTTCACTAAAATGTTTTTTTAAACCAAGTGTTAGTGTTTCGTTCAGTGTTAATAACCTTAAGGCACATTTAATGTAGGTGTGAGTCACCTGTAGATCAGTACAGATGTAACGTGTGATCAGTGTGGGCCTGCAAATAAAAAGCAGAAGATGACGTACCAAAAAACAGAGGCGTGTGTCCCTAGTAACCTCATAGATTACTGTTATTAACACAGGCAGCCGCTGTCACACGGGACAGATAAGAAAATAAAACCTAATAAAATAATGACTGTCAGGTGAAGACGGTTCATGTGTTCAGTTATGACTCACAGAGGAAGGCCTGCTCTGGCGGTGTGTTGAGTTTTTCGAATTGAGTGCAGTTCTCTGTTTAGCTAAGTATTGTCCACATTTCCTGTCCTCTTTGGGTTGTTTTGTCAAATCTACGCCCACATTATTACAGTGTGCTGAGCCTCGTGAAGTCCATGGTAACAGGCTTTCATTGGTCTGCGCTCTTGACGCTGCTCTTTGTGTTCCCAGATGAAGATCTTAAAGAGATCAGAATCAGTTTAATAACAGTGTTTTGGAAAGGAATGCAGTGCTTGTGTCCCGTGTTAAATGAGCCTCTGTGTATATTATAGTTTTTAGTTTTATACTTAGCTTGGAGATTGGGGTTAGAGCCTTGCATACTGGTGAAAATAGAAAAAAGAGCTGTGCTAGGCGAGTTGGCGTTTATTGGATGTGGTTTGGTTTCCTGCAGATGAATTCACTGTCCCCCAGAGAGCAGTAATGTGTCCCCAGGTAATGTGCTAGCTCGGTGGCTTTTACCTGCTCACTGTAATAAAAGTTTCATTAAGCACCAGGGTGGAGGGTTGGGGGTGGATTTAAGAACAGGCTCTATAAAAATCAGGGGGGGGGGGGCATTGAGCGGGTCTTCTATTATCATAGATTTTCACTGTTTCTACTGGCCAAAATAATTGACGTACATGAAATACATTGATTTTTACATTGTGTTTTAGAGTGCACCAACATTGGCATTACGCCACATTTTACAAAACACTTGCATTGTTTAAAGATCCTCTCTAGACATGTGGAATAATGTGTGTCTGATGTGGTGTTTCCACACACAAAAAAGACTAATTTTCACATTAAAATAATTAAAAACCCCATTAAAAATGACAGAATCTATGAATATGCAAATAATGCTGGACACAAGATGTTTCCTACTCCACCGTCAAATCTGCATCGCACTCGTATTGGGTTGTTGTGGCTCAGAGAAACAGATGAAATGATTCTAGAGTCGAACTCTGCACAGACATCATTCAAACATCACACTGTAGCAACAACAAGAACCACTGATTTTGAGTGAAAGGGGACTTTAAGTGAGAAATAAATGTAAGTGAAAAATAATAATAATAATATATTCTATATGGCTGTACCGAATAGTGCTGGGCAGCTTTTCTTTTTCCGTCTCTATCCTCTACTAACGGCGCTCCCCCTCCTCCAGGTCACTGGAGGGCACCCATGATTAGTGATTAATCAGCAATAGATGCTTTGAATGTAAAACTGACATTTGGTTCAGCCCCCCAATCAGCTATAGAGTTCCTGTTGTGTGTGCTGTGAATAAAGAAACATTTATCTGCACCTTCATTCCTGTTTACACTCATTTACATAATGTGTTGAGAAGTTCCGTGCTGCTGTACCAGTGCCACCGATGTAAAGAGTGAGCCTGGACTCGGTGTATAAGGTGTGTCTGACGTCGTCTCTCCTCACTGACCAGGACGTGGAGGTGCCTCTGCATCTGCTGCGTTACGTCTGTCTGTTCTGCGGGAAGCACGGCCTCTCCCTGATGAAGGAGTGCTTCGAGTCGGGCACTCCAGAGAGCCTCCCCTTCCCCATCGCCCACGCCTTCATCACCATCGTCTCCAATGTAAGTCCACCAACCCAGACACAAGTGCTGCTTACCGCTGGCTGTGAATTTAAAAGCCACGAAATGAAAGCTTGAGACATTTATTGAGAGTTTTGAGGTGGATTTGAAATCCACTTTATGAGATACACCTAGCCTAAGACTAATGCAGTCTAATACAACAGTCCTGCAATAAATCCTCTCTTCGTTAATGTTATAATGTTTTTATTGAAACCGCTTCAGTGAGGGGGGGATTTAATTTCTAATGTCGTAGTTTGTTGTGCGGTTGAATTGTATTACATTACAGTGAATACAGTGTTTCTAATATCTAACCTCATCGTCATTAATAAAAACAGGTTGGACAAAATATTAGACTGCATTAGTTTTAGCTCAACGTGCCTCATAAACTGACAAAAACATGACAACAAATGTAGATAATCTGCTGTGTTTGTGATGGTAAATTCTGTGCGTTGTGTTTTTGGTCCTGTCCACAGATCCGAATATGGTTGCACATTCCTGCGGTCATGCAGCACATCATACCGTTCCGCACCTATGTAATACGGTGAGTGACACATGGTGGTAAACTCCTTTTGTTCCTGATGAATCTGTTTGCTTTGGCAGAAGCTGATATTCAGTTGTTGCACGCTGTCAACACACATATGCTGAGTTTCTTTAATCAGTCATTTCATACCAAGCCTGTGCCAACTGGCCATCTGATCTTATATCAACGGTTCAATTTGCCTCTTCTTTTCCATGGATCAGACAGCACACATCTCCAGTCTTCGTACGCCTGCTCACCAAAACTAACCGCACCCTGGAGCGTTTACTTTAAGTCAGGTTTTTTGTCACGTTTCCCGTCTAATAGAAAAACCCTGAATAAAAATATTTATCAACCTTTGTGTGAGCTGCTCACTAGTTTGTAATCCCACAGACTCTCTCCAGGCAGCAGACCCCTTTTCCCATAATGCCTTGTCCTAGTGCTGGCAGTGTAGTTTTTAAGTTTTTATGTTGCAAAATGTTGGTCATTGTCATTTTTGTACTGGTTTATAGTTGTAACCATTAGTGAAGTAGCTGTAACGTTTCCTGACGTTGGCAGCTGTGACGTCACTCTCTCACTCCCGTCACCCCTGTCGATCGGATCGCATGTCTGCAATCTCGAGTAGCCACGATTGGACAGTATGAACTCTATTTCATACAGCAAACGACAATAACCCTGCATTTATATACAGAACCTAGACATACACCCAGACAACAATCACACAGTCCAAGGGACCAAGTCAACAACAGATCATAAGCAAACACACCTGGGGGGAGGAGGAGGAGGGGGAGGAGGAGAGGTGCAATATATTATTAAGACCCAGTGAGGCAAATAAGGAGAGCATTTTCTGAGCTTCTGCTCTCTGCTGCAGGGCCTGTCTGAGTCCCCGGTTTGTATATGACTGAGTAGCTGCCATTTTGTTGAACACCTTGTTTCCCTGTCAGCACAGCATCCAGCAGCTCCTCCGCCCCAACCAGGCTGGAAGAAACGGAGCTTCTGCAGAGGATTGGTGGCGACTCTTTGCTTCAGATCGGAGCAAACCAAAAGTCTGCACAAGACTGCTAGCTCTGACTCCGTAACCTCCTCAATCTTCCACATTAAACTTATTGCGTACTTATTGCACCTTTATATGCTTTGAACAACCGTGTTTCAGCGTCTAGGTGTGTTGCTTCCATTTGAAGTGACGAAGCCAAACGTGTTCGACTCAGAGCTCTCTCTGTCTCCGTCTCTCTCACTCACTCAGTCAGTGCACCTCGCTCATTCGTGCTCTCTCTCCCCCTCCCCGCCAAATACCAAAGTGCCACACTTGTGTTGCTAGGAAGAGCTTCCGTCACCATGGCAACAGTTGCTAGGCACCCAGCGAACCTCTCCTCACATGACCCTAGAGGAGGCAGAGCGCTAGCAGGGCCAGTCATGTGACTCGGGCGGGCTGATGCTCCGCTGCCTCGCCGACTCTTCTGTCTCACTGAGCAGAGACTCTCTCCGCTCCAATAAAACCATTACTGTAATAAGAACAACAATTAAAGGGTCATTCCCTGGTTTTATTAAAACACACACTCCCCTCATAGTATCCATCCAGCCCACAGTTCACATTTTAAAAGATTCAACAGCCAGCAACATGTTACCTGCATTGAGGAGGAGGAGATTCTTCATCATCCAGCTCTAACAGCTAGGAGACTCTAAAGGGCAGCACACACCAGCGGCGTATGATGCACGAGCACATTTTTTTAGTCTATCAAGATCAGGGATTACCTCTATCAGTGTGATTCATAGCCGAGTAAAGCTGTACAGGAAGCCATAAAACACAAAATAATAAGAAATGGTGAAGCTATAAAGTTCATACTCACTTGACCAGACTCAGGAAGGACCCATGGGCTGTGACTCACTCAGGACCTAATAGGCCATGGAAACTATGAAACTTAATGAATCACTTAAATGTGGTCAGCACACAAGCAGCCATACAAAAAGCCGGAAAAAACGGAATAACCTTATATTTTGTTAAGTAACACATACCATAAAAGCAGGGTCCCAATTAGACCCAGGTCTCCTGTACTAGCCTGCTGTGGCTACACGTTTTGATAAATTAACTCTTTATTGATGCTCTCTTTGTGGTGTTCAATTTGTTGTTGACTGCAACGTAAACTGACCCCACACAACGTCTATCTCTACTTTCCTTCTGCTCGGCCTCAAGTCTCATCCGTTTAGCTTTGTGGGTTGATTTTCATGTTGAATGTTTACTGGCAATATGAGTAAGTATAAATCATAATCAAAACAGATTTGGGATTGTTTTTCCAGGCTGTAGTTCAATAAAACCAGACAGTTCAAAATGTAATTTCACGTAACTTTTTCCCCCCTCAAAAATAAGATTTGGCACAGTTTTCGTGGTTCAGTCCGCTTTAGGTCTTTGCAGTTGTTTGAAATCAGTTTGATCAGCAAAACAAAAATCCCTTCAGCAGCAACTGTAGCCTCCCAAACTCATCAGGAAAGATCTGAAAACCACAAACCTGACTATCCCAGCTCGGAGTGAAGACTGGATGAGTCAGCAGCACTCCGCTGTTGATCAGATATCTCAAAATACGCCTACACAGGGCTCGAAAATGAACGTGATTAAAAATTAATCTCAAGGGTAGCAGCACAGTAATTTAAATGTTTGGATTCAAAGACAAAAAATGTGAATGTGAGAGTGAAAAAATAAACGCTTGGGGCTGCCAGGTCGCGTTAACATGACAAACTCTTTTGAATTGCAATGATTTAGTCTGTTATCACCGTTGGGGTGTGTCTTGGCATGATGATTCTTCCTGGTAAAGTTTTTTCTTGCCAGTGTTAAAATGGATGTAGTAAGAACATTAGACTGAGAAGCATATCTTTAGGACAACACCTCATTCATCCTCCTGCTGTACGTGTGGGAAAAATCAGCAACCAAACAATTCTGCAAATTTTACACAACAAGCTAATAATTAGATAAGTCAGAGATATTCTAGATGAACAAAACTGTCACTTCCCACATATATGTGGGCGTTGGGAGAGGATGAAATTGAAACCCTGCGTTAGGTTTGGGTGATCAGTTATTTTTGAACTTTATTTCAAATCCACATCCTGTGTCTTATCATTGTGACTAACTGTCACAAGAGAAGACGAGATTAGGGCTGCACGATATGGTAAAAACATCATATTGCAATGATTTTGACAGATATTTTCATACTAGATTAGTGTGGGAAATATCATTTTTGCATCACAAATTTCATTTTCATTGAAAAAACGATTTTGATATTGCACATTTGCAATTTTGATAATATTTGAACTCATGTGGGCAGCCCTACACAAGATTCTGGCCTTGAAATGAAGAAACAGGTGCACACTTAACAGAGCTACTAAACTTGGTCTGCTAACAACAAGAGCTAACGCTAACTACATTCAAATCATTGCCTCTTTTGCTCCCAGAGCATTATGGGTAGTGCAGTCCTTTTAATACAATTATTGGCACTTTGCCTCTAAATTATCTGAATTTATGTGAAATGTATCTTCTTTTAACTTTAAGTTTCCACATGAGCTGTTTTACATGGACTTATTAACCCTGTGGCACCAAGCACAGACACACCGGCTTTTAAAAGGGAGCCGTTTTTATAATGTGTGCAAATAAATTAGTGGTCTGCATGTCCTTCACTGGCACACATCTTTTACATAGCTCGCAGATAGGCTTAGGCTGTAATTAAGGATTTAAAATTCACTCGTCACTGCAGCTGATTAACGGGGCTCAGCGGGCATCGCTCCACCAGAAACATCCCTGAGTGCTCTGCAGATTCTACAGATTATTTAACATCTTTATAACATTCATACCATCTTAGTTCTGATAGAAAGTTAGTAGAAACCGCATTAATACCGGCGTTGGAAAAGCCAATCATCCATCATCCTTTAATCGGCACAAGCCTCCTCTGAATCTTTAACACAGAGCTTCATTCTGTCCAAACATTAGAATGAGAGAGCAGCTGGTTTAACTTATTTCAGTGAATCGAAGCACGAAATTCAAAATGTTAGTCAGCTGATAATTCCTTTTAACAATTGAGCTCATCACATTTTGGATGCGGCCTGCAGGTATCTGTGTAAGCTGTCGGACCAGGAGCTGCGGCAGAGTGCAGCGCGCAACATGGCCGACCTGATGTGGAGCACGGTGAAGGAGCCGCTGGACAGCGCGCTGTGCTTCGACAAGGAGAGCCTGGACCTCGCCTTCAAATACTTTATGTCCCCCACGCTCACCATGAGGCTGGCAGGACTCAGCCAAATCACAGTGAGTCACACTCCCAGCAGGACTCAACTCAAACCGGGTCAGGCTGATTTTAACAGGTGGTCTACGTGGAGCTCGTCACAGTAGCGCCTACGCCAGTGGTTCCCAACCTTTTTCCTTAAGGGAGCCCTTTTCTATCATTTAGTAAACTGACTCAGTGACATATTTTATATATATTTCATATTATATTAAAAACTGGACAATAAACCCAAACAGTAAACTCAGTAACTGGCAGGAGTTTATTGCTGTAAAACCAGGAGATTTGGATGAGATTACTGAGCAGATAATATTTCCTGTTTAGGAGAACTTTTTGAAGTTAGGCAAATAAATACCAATCTCTTGTCTTTCTTGATGTTCCATTGGGGATTTTAAAATAATAATGTTAAATCAATCAATACAGACTTAATACGCAAACTGTGAGTTTTCACTGGCCTTGCACAGACCTCGATTGTTTTTCTTGTCGCAGATGCTTAACCACTAAATTGTATCTATTTTTCGTAAACAACTCCCGAGACAATTTTTCATACCTCTGGATGACAATCATCCTCTTACAATTATACAGGGTATCCTTGAAAGTTCAAAAAAAGATTACCGTGTATGGCATAGCATAAATATATAAAAGAAGAAAAAACCAAATCAGAACATAATTGGTGAGGAAGATACAATAAGCAGTGATTTGGATTTGTACATTTGAATGACAAACAGGTTTCTTGTCCAGAGTATCTGAATGTCCTGCCACGGGTGCCATCACAGAAAGTGGCATACCATTAAGTCCAGTCTGACAAAGATTAAAAGAATCTGATTTTTTCGAAATTTGAAGTATTCATGTGGCCAGAGTATAACTGATCGATCCAAAACCTCCATGTTTTGTTTTTTGTATTTTATCTTTTTAGTGGTTGTTTAGGAAGCTTATGTGATTGTGTCAAGCCTGAGTGGAATGTTGAAATACTGACTCAGTACTT